ATAACGATAATGTTATAGTTATTATGTAAGTGGTCAATAAATCTATTTACAAATCCAAACCCCGTCTATAGTCACACATACTACGTGACAATATCTTTCTCCCAAACACATTTACTGGGTTTTGATAATATTTTTATGAGGATTCTTTGTACAAATTATTAATAGGCGAATTTTATTTTACTCTCTTACTTTCATGAAGCTCAAATTAAATGCTTTCTCAAAAACTGCTGTGTGCCTGGTCCTAGGATCGATGAAATATACACGCGGAATTTGCAATGTACAGATGTCAATGGCGAATAAATATTACTGTCAAAATAAGTCCCAGAAAATTGTTTATGACACTAGCAAAGAACATTAACATCCAAGAGTACTTTAAACCCTCTTAAGGAGTAAATGAAATGTGAAATTTGAAGTTCCCGCGGTGGTAACTATGAAGAATATTATAGGATATGACACCCTGTATGGTTGTAGAAATTTACCGACGTTTCGGAGGAACATCATTATGTTCATAGTTGAGGAAGTACGTAATGAGCACTGTCCTTACTTGCTTCATTTAATCTTCGACTCTGACAGTGGCGGATGTACGTTCCTCCGAAACGTCTGAAGACACCTGCCATACTATACAACTTCACGTCCCAGAGAATAGTGATTCCATTCATAGTTGCCGCCGTGAGCACTTGTACTCTCACATGATGGGTAATCTGCACACCTGCGTTCCTGAAGCAGCAGGGTGATTGTTGTGCGACGCGGTTCCCGCACAATGTCTGCTCCGCGAGCTCACAACACGTGTTCCCCACTGATGTCGAGTAATTGCGACATTTTCTCAATGTCTCAGCATATAACGAAATATTCTCATGCTTCTCGCACTCCCTCGCACACATTTTATTTGTCATTTATATTGTTCTTCCTATGCGCGTGATTAAATGATTGCTTTATCATTATAATTATTATTATTTGAAATACACAGGCCACAATATGCCTAATATTTTTTGTTATTGATATTGTCACGTAATGGAGTGTGACTATAGACAGATTTTAGACTGATCACCGGATTTATTGGACACCTTGTTACAGCGCGTGACTAAATATTACAGTTCACCGCTACACACACACACACACACACACACACTCATTAGTGGACACAGTCACTTCTTCACTAACCGTTGCTCGATAGCGGCTTACAACGGCGGATGTTCCCTTCCTCTCGGATCCCTAAGTAACCATGGCCTCAGCTACCAGCTTCTCACAACAGCTCACAACAGCTCACAACAGCTCACAACGGCTGAATCGGCCAGTATTTCTTGGTGTCAAGCACCCATCTGCGACCCAAGACCAGGTTTTTGTTATTGTCACACGGTTGTGGTTTGTTGAAGTTTGGCGCCCTCTGTGACGAAAAGACGAGTCTGTCGCTTATAATTGCTGCCGGCAATCGCCAGCTATTCATTCTCGGGTCCGAGTCCCGCGGTACTCATGACCATATTTTATTGTCTCAGATTCGAGACTCCCCCAACCTGGAGGGCTAGGTCCCCTTATTTATATCCGTCCGTAACAAGGTGGCTCAGTTATACCTCAAGCACTGGGTTTATTACTCTCAACTAGCAAACTCTCTACAACTAAGAGAGAGTTACTTTACGACTGACGGTTTACCGCCCATCTCGTCTTGGCGACAAGCCTCTTGAGTCTCACGACCAGAGATTTTTTCAACTGAAGCCTTCAACATCTTCTCTGACGACAGGATGGATTCGCCGTGGAAACATGCTTATTTGCGGGGCCGTTATTTGGCAATGGCTCTATTGTAGTTGCTACTTTCGCCGTACTTGCGTACTTCATAAGATATCTTAAAAATAAATAATGTTTCGGCGTTCAACGAGATCCCTCGTGTGGAAATTCTAGTTACAATCTTACTTTAAATGTTTCTACTGATGTACGCCGCTGTTACGTTCCATCTTGGGCCAGTGAAGTCCCTTCTTTGTCACACTTGATGAATTTATTGCGGTGACTGTGAACACCTCCGTCCCAATAGTACCAAGGGGCTGAAAGGGCGGCATCCTTGTTTCGTGATTAGAGGGTTGCGGCTTAAAATCGGGATTCGACAAAATGCCACCATGGCAGATGTTACTGCGTGTCTTTTCCCAGTCCCTCTAGGCAAATGTGGGAATACTATATCAGATTAAGTGAAAACTGCTTGTCTCCCCATCCATTGCATTTAATCATTTGTCATGGAACCATTCGACGCTACATAATCCGAGCTACTGACACCGTCATTAAGCAGATGATAAATAAAGAAAACAAAGAACACCGATATGGTTAAAATGCGCAGTTCTGAGTTGGGATAACACTGGTGCGATTACTGGAAGCAGTTTTATATGGAAATAAATGTTTAATATTATAAAATTTGTGATAAAATTAATGATTATAGAAAATTAGACATGAGTCATAGCGAGTACGTCTGGTGGCAGTAACTAATAAGTCACTGCAGCCCGATGTGTTAAATTTGTACACTGATATGACATGAAAATCTGCAAGTGATAATACTGGCCATAGCGTGCGTCTAGTGCAGTAGGTGATTAAAGAACTTCATATTGTATTTGTTTTGTCTTGATGATGTATGAAGGATTTCCGTGACTAATAACAATGGGTTCTGGATTTAATGATTGGATTTATTGGTACTTCTTCATAATCACACTAAATTATAACAGTTCACACATTGCACTCCTGAGCAATATCTGCCGGACGAATTTGTCTGAAGAATCTCTCGTTGCCTCGAACCAGAGGCAGAATCAGACTTACTTCACGACTCCCTCGAATGCATGAATCAGCTTATTTTTATAACTGCCACGCAGCCCGAATAGAAATCACAGACTCGAATAATTAACAGTTCCTCTATTATTCTCTATTCCATACATTGCCATGAAACTGATGTCATTCTCTGGATAACGCTTTGATTTCTTAAAGGATGCTCATCGCCGCGTAACGTGTGTCAATCTCGTGAAAACGCTTTGATTTATATAAGCATATTCTTTACTACGAAACGCGCTTTTAGGGAGACATTGCCTAGCAATGGACTCTTCCGTCACAATATTATGATACTCATATTATTTAATATATAATAATATTGTCAAATGTATGAGTGACTATAGACGGGGTTTGGATTGGTGACTAGATTTATTGACCACCTATACACTCACTACTAGTGACTACACTTCACAGATCATTGACATACACGCTGTCCTCAGTTTATTAGTTTCCACTAGCCGTTTTCTGGCAACAGATTTTAACACAGGAACCATAAGTGTCTTACTGAAATACACACTCTAAATATCACACTGAAATCTTCTCTTAACAGCCGGAAATTCCAACTAAACACTCTCGCAAATAACTAGTTTCCCCAAACCGTCCCGGTTATAACATCTCTTCACGGACAACACAGAAAACACTGTTTCTCTGTTGCTGTACCATTTGTGCATTCGTACCTGTTTGCATAGTCGTTGCCTAAAAACGGTTCCGATATATTTGCCTATCTCGTGGTCGTTGCGTAGTAACGGCTTTACACTCAACAATACCATGTCATGAATTTTATCTTAATGCTTTTATGCAATTTCGAGAATGATCGAAAATGAAACGTAAACACATGTAACTGCCATATTTTAGTGTTTCAATGGTTTTTGTGTACATTTATGAGTTTATGTATAATTTACACCAGACGATGGCCAATTTATGATCGAAGCATATAGTGGAAGTCGTTGTGCCTTATGGTATAAATTCTGCCCGACTGTGGGGACACCGTGATGATTTCTAAGCTCTACAAACGCGCTAAAATAATGTAAGATGAAGTCTCCTAAGGTTTCATTTTCCAAATCCTGTAATAAAGGGCTTTAACGGTGATTGCATTCAATTTTTGTGCGAAATGGTTGAGCGATAATATTTATCTACAGCTGCACTCCTATCGTTTATATTTACACCTTCAGAAAATTCGAAGGGAAAAGTGGTCATATCCACAGGTCATAAAATCCGGATGGTATAGTCTTCGGCGAGGTTCACATCAATACATCACAATTCCTTCTATCACTGTGTATGTTAACTTCTGATATGAATTTACACTTAAAAATATATCGTAAAATCTGTGTTTCTAAGAGGCCGTGGAGGCCCATAGGATTGTGAGACGTCGAAGCTGCCACATTTTCTAGACAATCGGAGCACAAATGGCGGTGAGATTGTCAGCCTTACCCGCCGAAAGCCCTTTATCCCCAGGAAGATTGCTGGAACTCATTTCTGTTAGAGGCTGAGTCGACCTCAGGGACATATTGCTGCTGAAAGTATTAGATTAATTGAAAAATGTCAGTGACCTCATCGGGAATCGAATCCGTGACCTTCCGTCTTGTAGCATGATGTCTCAACCAACTACGCTATCGCGCGCCCCCCCATTATATAGTAAACCACAGTAGCATTGACTGCCTGAAGCAATTACAGTTTTAATATTTCCCTAAATTAAATATTTCATTGTTATCGAAGTACGTACTTAGCGTAGTTGGATGAGACATTATGCTACAAGCCCGAAGGTCGCGGGCACGATTCCCGATGAGGTAATTTTTTTTTTTCAATTGACCTAGTCCTTCCAGCCGCACTATGGTCCTGGGGTCGACTCAGTCTCTAACAGAAATGAGTATCAGGATTCTTCCTGGGGTAAAAGGTGGCCGGCGAGTAAGGCTGACCTCGCCGCAATCTGTGAACCGATTGTCTGTAAAATGTGGGAACCTCGACGTCTTACAATCCTATGGGTCTCCACGTCCTGTTACAGAGACAGCTTCATCATATGCCTTTTTATTTTCGGAGTACTACACATGTAAACAACCAAACCCGTTCTAAAACATTACCAATAACGTACAAATCCAGTTTAAAGTTGAGCAAGTATGTCTGAGTGTATCTCTTTTCCTCTTTAAACATATTTTAAGCAGTTTCTATTGTGTAAGTTTAATGTTCTCTTTATTCTTTTGTTCCAGCTGCCATTTCAAGGAAGGTCTGCTTGACGGAAGAATGTGTGAGAACAGGTATTTATATAATTTGCTTCTTAATTGAAACTGTCTGGTGCCCAAATTTATCGCATGCCAACGTGCAAACCCTGGGCTGTTTATACGGAACATTTCATAGTATCAGTAAGGAAGAAGGATAAAATTGTTTAAATAGTAGGTTTACACAATTTTAACTGGCTAAGACTCGTATTTAATTGTTCAGAAGTAGGTAACAGCTAAGTGATGCATGTTTTCTTAACGTGATTTGACAATAAAGTTCGCGAACTTATTGCGGTAGAAGTGTTACATACTTCGCTGCTGAATATCACTGTGGTCGCCTTCAAAGTACTTCCTTTGGGAATATGTACCGACGCCAGCGCCTGGTCCACCCTTCAAAACAATTTTAGAACTGGTTTTGTGAATTGGCCTCCAGAGCTGCCGTCGTATTTCTCCGCATGTCATCAATTTCATCAAAATGCCTACCTTTCATTATTTCCTTTATCTTCTGGAAGAGGAGAAAGTCATCGGGGGCCAGATCAGGTGAACAGGGAGAGTGTTCCAGCATATTTATTTGTTTACTAGCTAAAAGCTCCCTCACAGACCGTGCTCTAATTCAAGCTCCGACATTCTCGAAACGGCACAAAAAAACACACTCAGACAATAATAGACGCCACTCAGAAAGAGACTGCCGTAGATCATCAATAACACATCTGTGAAACGCTGATATACCAACGTCATCTATCCATACTGAGGTTTCTGTCCACTGTTACCACGGCAAGTACACGGTGGAGAGTTCGCCAACTTTATTGTCAGAACTCGTAGCTCAAATTACACGCATGTAACCACAGGCAGCGAAGCGCTATTGCTGTGACGTCACCTATACTTCTGGTGACAGTGAGCACTCATGCAGAGCCCTCCCCCCTCCACCTTCTCCTGATGACGGAAACGGATTCAGTTTCCGAAACATATCTATACCCCAGAAAATGGCCAATATCCGATATTATACTCGTATATGTTAGGTACGTATTCAACTGTTAGTTTTAGCCATGCATGGCACACGGACCTAGTTTTACGCGAAATTAGAACGCCATGTCTATAAGAAAAGTATGCCATGAAATTGTCTATGTTTACCTTAATCAGAACCTCCACTTACTTGGCTGTAAGGGCCGCACCATAGCTCAAGCGGCGGCCCGGGTTCGATCCCTGGTCAAATGGGATTTGTGGTGGACAAAGTGGCGCTGGGGCAGGTTTTTTCCCAGTACTTCAGTTTCCCCTGCCAATCTTCATTCCACCAGTTGCTCCACAATCACCCTCACCTATCATCTGGGGCTGGTACAATAGGCCAGAAGTGGCCGCAGTACAAGGGACTTAGTTCCACCGCACTAGGAATGAAAAAAATAATACTTGGCCGTAAAAGTAAAGCTAAAGCTATCCCCGTAAGAGGCCGTGGAGGCCCACATGGTCGTGGGATGCTGAGGGTCCTCATTTTCTAAACAGTCGGCTCACAGATGACGGTGAGGATACCCTCCTTACGCGCAGGCCGCCCTTTACCCCCAGGGAGATTCCTGGTACTAATTTCTGTTAGACATCGAGTCGAAACTAGGGGCATATTGCGGCTGGAAGGATTAGGTGAATTGAAAAATCTAATGACGTGATCGGGAATCGAACTCACGACATTCCGGCTTGTAGTATAGTGCCTCAACCACCTTTCTTTCCCCGATGCCTAAGCATCACCCTGTTGCATGACCAAGTGCTGTAATGTTTGTACTCACAGCTGTCATAGGCCTCTGGCACTGTTCGTCACTCGCCAAGTTCACTTCTATAGGGAGACTGGAATGAAAGTGCAATCAACCAGCAGAGTGGGACAGATGGTCTGATATAATGCAGAGTCGAGTAAGGCACTTGAATGGGTAATTAAGTATTAAACATGTACAGCACAAAGTAACACTACAGGCCCAACACATCATAGATCCCATGTAAAATACACATGCAGTTTGTGGCTGTGTTTTTTTTGGGGGGGGGGGACTTAACAGAACGTTCAGCGTTTTATGTTTATTAATCATCTAAATACACTATCGTTAAATAGCGTCGAATTGTAGTTGATAATAAATTAGAAAATTTGTGAAAGAAAGAGACCAATTGTTTAACTTGTAATACTATCCTAGCATTTCCGTGCAGCGACTGAGGAATAACACGAAAGCCACTAGTCAGAATAGTTGCTACCTCTTCTGAGTTTCGAACCGGACTCCTTCTGAATGCAAGTCAATAGCGTTACCGCCACAGTCAAATTGCTCGGTCCATGCATTCAGTATATACATAAAGCCTAACCCTAGCTGGGATGTCCCCAACACAAAATTGTGGACCTAGTGACGTGATTGGTCGCCAGACGACATTAGTGTCTCTTCTTTTGCCAAGAACAATCGCTCATTGCTTACAGCAATATACAGCGGTCGGCAAAATTGTGATGTAACGAGTATAATATTGGATCAATAAAAATAACATCCGTGGAAACTATAGCTGGAACTGGAAATCATTTATTTTCAAGGATGTTTATCGTACTGTCACTCCATAGTGACTACACACGGGAGTTATAACGCTATCGCTAATTCACACACTCCGCAGTTCACTGCAGCAAGTACTAAGTCTTCTCTGTCCGCTGTCTTCAGCAGTCATTGCCTGGTAACACTCCCGACAGCGTAGATCCCAGCTAGCGTGTTCCACGCTTCCGGTCCTCGTTGGCTGTCGCCTATCTCACGACTACTCCAAGACTCTCGTGACTACACTTCACAAATCACTATAACACACACAGACTAGTGTTGGCAGTAACGGTCTTCACTGTGCTGCTGGGAAGCGTCTTCCAACAGAGCATATTGCCCTTCTCTCCGGCTCACTTCCTCGAATTCTGGCGGCCATCTCACACCAAACTCCTACTCTTCAAACTTCCGCCTCTCACGACTCGAAATTACCACTCGTCCTATTGGTCCTAGTGATGCAACCTCGGGACGACCCAACAGAAAGAAGGAACTTCTCTTGCAGCTGCGATATTGCAGCCACGCAGCCGCCTCTGCGGTCCGCACAGAAAACACCGCTTCTAATAGTTCTTCTGCTGTTGTGTGACGTCATGGCTGTCTCGGGGACGCGTTTATTGCGTCATTGCCTAGCAACGTGCCACGGTACTAAAATTCTGGGGATAAAATTTTGCATTAAACTGTGCGGCTTTCCGGAGGATCTGTTTTCGACAAACACTCTTTGACTTCAAATGACACAGGGCAAGTTGCATGCAACCGCAACTGTAACGACTTGTGTTCGAGAGGTACTCTCGGCGAATCTCGCCCGAACACCGACTATTCTGACTGATATTTTTCGTGTTCTTCCTTAGGCTAGCCATGTCAGTGCTAGGATAGTGTTTAAAGTTAAGCCATTACCGTTCCTTCCACATACTTTGCAATTCGTGTAGTAATAATCACTGACAATATCATTAAATGAACTAAAAATGATAAATACATTAATAAATATAAACCACATCGTATTTATAAGTTTTAATTTCCATGATTCCAACAGGATAACTGTGAGAACTTTCAGTTTGGACAGAATTAGCGCCCTTAACCCTTTAAAGCCCAGTGGTTATTATACGTACCACCTACTTTAACATTAAAATAACTTTGCATTTGTTTACGGGGTGTACTGTATATATTTAATTTGAGTCCCAAAATAAATTCCGACTGCTTTCCAGTAACAGACTGGTCTCCGTTATGGTTACAGTGTGTCACCTATCACGTCAGAGATGGACTTTCAAACATAATTCAGAAGAGATTTGTCTTCAAAAGTGCTAATATTGAGTCCTGTGTTATTAACATTCCAATCATATTGGTAACTACTTGCCAGTTCATGTGTCTGACGAATGTAATGTAAAATACCTTTGATTATTAATTTACTATAATTTATTATAATTTTGCCTGTGGTTCTGTATGGATGTGAAACTTGCTCTCTGACATTAAGGGAGGAACATGGACGGAGGGTGTTTGAGAACAGGGTGTTGAGGAGAATATTTGGACCGAAGAGAGATGAAGTTATAGGAGGTTGGAGAAAACTGAATAATGAGGAACTTCATAACTAGTACCCTTTTTTTTCCCCCCTTGGCACTACACCCCCAGTGGGCCTAGGCCTACCTCCATGAACTTCTCCGTTCATTTCGGTTTTTCTAGTTCTTACACATTCGGTAGGACTCCTTGGGCGGGTGATCAGCTCGTCGCAAGGCCTCTACTTGTACACAAACACAGAAAAACGCAACACAAACTAAACATCCATGCCCTGAGTGGGATTCAAACCCACGATCCCGGTTTCCAAGCGAGCGAAAACAGTTACATGCTTTAGATCGCTCGGCTACCGTGACCGGCAACTAGTACCCTTTATCATGCATAATTAGAATGATCAATTCAAGGAGGATGATTCAGCAACTTAAATCGCATTTTGGCTAGTTTGAAATGTAATTTACAAGATTTGCGTGCCTGTCTTGCCGTGACTGTATCTGTAATTAGTTCACACGTCACAACTCGGGAACCGTCAAACGGATTTTCATGAAATTTGGTATTAGAGAATTTCACTAAAATATATAGAGCCGTGTAAAATCTGTTTAAAAACAGACACCAATATCGGACGACTTTACATGAATATCTGACCATATTTCGATTGTAACTCGCTCATAACTCTCTAAATAATTATCAGAACGAATAATGTTTCGAACCATCAGTGTAGAGAAGGTCAGGCACATTGTGTTTTGAAACATAAATTTTCCTGGAGTCTTAAGGTTGTCGAAATAATCTTGCCAAACTAGTTTGCTGGAATTGTTCGGGTTACGTGTATATTTTTAACTTTGTGGATATGAGGTTCTCAGAGCGGTGGTTGTGAAGAGTTCTAGCTTTTGAAATATAACGCCCAATAGATCGGGGAAAGTCAACCGACGTTTCGGAGTTACACATCGCCCCCATTCTTATAGTCCAAGAGTAATATAAGCAAAAAACCGGCATGAAGCAAGTTGG